CAGCTCGGAGCAGCAACCAAAGACCTCTACGGTGACTAGCAGCAGCACTGGGCCCAACTCATCGACGCCAGGAAACGCTTCCAAGGAGGGTGCTCCGCAGGAAGAGGACCTACAGATCCAGTTCGAGTATGTGCGAGCGCTGCAGCAACGCATCTCGCAGATCAGCACCCAGCGGCGGAAGAGCTCCAAGGGAGAAGCGCCCAACCTGCAGCAAAACACCAATCCACCTGTGATAGAATCGGTCGAGGATCAGCCCAAGCCCGTGGAGGAGCCAACGGTTTCGATGCGATCGCGAAGCACCAGCATTTCGGGCAAGGTTCCTGAGATACCCACGCTCAGCAGCAAGCTGGAGGAGATCACCAAAGAGCGCACCAAGCAAAAGGATCTGATTCACGACCTGGTCATGGACAAGCTGCAGTCCAAGAAGCAACTGAACGCCGAGAAGCGTTTGCATAGGAGTCGGCAGCGCAGTCTGCTGACCAGTGGCTACGCCAGTGGCGCTAGCCTGAGTCCCACGCCCAAGCTGGCGGCTGCTTGCAGTCCGCAGGATTCGAACTGCTCCAGCCAGGCGCACTATCATGCATCCACGGCGGAGGAGCGACCGAAGCCGCCGGCGGAGAGGCCGTTGCAGAAGTCCGCCACATCCACATATGTGTCGCCCTATCGCACAGTCCATGCGCCCACACGAAGTGGTGATCTCTACAAGCCGCGTCCCTTCAGCGAGCACATCGATTCGAGTGTCTTGACGGGCTACAAGCTGGGCAAGACGGCCTCGTTTAATGGCGGAAAGTTGGGCGATTTCGTTAAGCCCATAGCTCCGTCAAGAGTAAACCGAGGAGGAGGAGTTGTGGCGCCAGATGTGGCCAACATTTCAGCCTCAACGGAGAACCTGAGAAGCGAAGCCAGGGCCAGGGCTCGTCTCAAGTCCAACACAGAGCTGGGTCTCAGTCCGGAGGAGAAGATGCAATTAATACGCTCACGGTTGCATTATGACCAAAACAGAGCCCTTAAGCCAAAGCAGCTGGAGGAAATGCCATCCGGTGATCTGGCTGCGCGGGCCCGCAAAATGAGTGCCTCGAAGAGTGTCAACGATCTGGCCTACATTGTGGGTCAGCAGCAGCAACAGCAGCTGGAAACGGATGCCGTGCACCAGGCCAAGGCGGCTGACTTCACATCCGATCCGAATTTGGCGTCCGGTGGTCAGGAGAAGGCAGCGAAAACGAAGTCGGGGCGGAGGGCAAAGGATCCGGAGAGGCGGAAGAGTCTCATACAGTCGTTGTCCAGCTTCTTCCAGAAGGGTTCTGCATCTGCGGCCACCAGTTCCAAGGAGCAGGGCGCCCCTGTGGCTGCCGGCTACTCTGAGCAATCAGAGCGACCCGGCACCAGCAGCAGCGGCACGCCCACAATCTCGGATGCGGCGACAGGAGGCGGAGGAGGAGGTGGCGTCTTCAGTCGATTCCGCATCTCGCCCAAGTCCAAGGAGAAGTCCAAGGTCAGTGGTTGCCCAAAAAAACGTATCTGTAGTGTGGTTTTGGTCGGTGTTGATGTAACCAAGTGTTGTCTGCCTCACGGAGCTGCTGGCTAGTCCAAGCTATCGATTCATCCGACCTCATCTAGCATTAAGTTATAATAACTGAAAAGATATTGGTATTTGGTGTACTAAGTGTCTCATTTATAACATTTAAAATTCTCTTAATCAATTTACAGTCTTGCTTTGATCTGAGGAATTTCGGTTTTGCTGTAAGGACTTTTAACTACTCTAAACCCCTAATATCAAACACTTTCGAGTTTTCCAAATTTTGTACACTCACTAAAGCTTAGTCTTATTATTTGGCATCCGCAAATTTTATTTCAACTGGTTTCTAATCGCACATCTCTCCATCTCGATGGGCTTTCTGTCTGTTTGCTGTCCTATTAAACCCAATTAAATTGCCACAATTTTATTTTAATTTGTTTTCATTTATTTTATTTTTATTTTCTCTTACCCAATTCCAGCAAAAGTTATTTAAGTCTTAAGTTTTAAGTTTGCCTGCTGTATTATTTTTTATTTTTTTCTGTGCCTCTAAATAACATTTATGTGTACTTAATTTAATTTCTACCGCAAGGTAGCTGAAGGTTTCAGGGAAACCTTATGGATTTAGGGATATTATGTTGTGTGTTTTAACTATAAGTTTTTATTGGTTTAAGCGCTGGATATATTATTGTTTTTTGGGACTTAATTTAAGAAGTGCTCAATGTAATGGATAATTTTGCATGATTGGTTTCCCTGGACTCCCGGTTATGGTAATCCATAAGAAATATATGTTAAGCTTCCTGCCTTTGGACATCCTGCACGTTAAATGTATATACTATTTTCTAGTAAATAACATTTTGTTTTAATCAGAACTGAAAGCTGTTTATTTTTCCGATATGTTTTCAATTTCTCCAACTTTTGATACCGTTGAAAAACACACATTAAACCCAATATATATTCTGATACCTTTAAACACAATGCCACACTAGGACAAGGATATGCTGGTCTGCAATGCTCCGGCAGGCGCAGGATCCACATCACAGACAAATCACTCGCAAGAGTATCTGAACAACAGTCGCTATCGAAAGCAAACGAACAACGCGAAACCGAAACCCGAATCGTTCTCTTCATCCAGCCCGCAGCTCTACATACACAAGCCCCACCACCTGGCCGCATCTTATCCGAAGGCCCTGGATGATCAGACACCACCGCCCATTCCGCCTCTGCCTCTGAATTATCAGAGATCCGATGGTTTGTTGTTCACATTCTATGTCCTCATACACCCCGTACCCAAGTGTCCTGTCCTGACCCACTGAATCATCCGAATAGAATCCTTTTGCCATGGTTATAAATCCTATTTTGATTACAGATGAGAGCTACGCTAACGAGACACGGGAGCATAAGAAGCAACGTGCCATATCGAAGGCTTCACGACAGGCTGAGCTCAAGCGATTGCGAATCGCTCAAGAGATTCAGCGGGAACAGGAGGAGATTGAGGTGCAGCTAAAGGACCTGGAGGCACGCGGCGTGCTTATTGAGAAGGCCCTTCGGGGCGAGGCGCAGAACATTGAAAAGTGGGTTCTAAATTCTGGATATTTAATTGGACACCACCCTAATCAAAGCCTCTATTTTCAGCCTGGATGCGACTAAGGACAACGACGAGAAACTACTCAAGGAACTTTTGGAGATTTGGCGTAACATCACAGCACTCAAGTAGGTTGATCTACCAAGCTAGTCAAGTAAGGAAGCTAATGTTATGTGCTCTTAGGAAACGCGATGAGGAACTGACTATAAGACAACAGGAACTGCAACTGGAGTATCGGCATGCCCAGCTCAAGGAAGAGCTCAATCTGCGCTTGTCGTGCAACAGTGAGTATTGGGATTGAGATCATATGATCTTAAAAATATTTTATTCAAATCACACCTTTAATATACTACCCCTACTATCACAGAACTGGACAAAAGCTCCGCCGATGTGGCCGCCGAGGGTGCAATACTCAATGAGATGTTGGAAATAGTCGCCAAGCGAGCTGCCCTACGACCCACAGCCTCCCAACTGGACCTCACGGCAGCGGGATCGGCATCCACCTCAGCCGAGGCAACGGGCATAAAGCTGACCGGACAACCGCATGACCACGAAGAGTCGATTGTAAGTGTGATCCCCAAAGTTACTGATGAAAATTGTAATACTTTTCCCATTTCAGATTTGAATAGCAAACTTTCCCTGGGGTCTGCTGGTCTGCGAGGTTCTAAACGGACTACTTAGCCTAAATACTTAAGATGATACAGGGGAGAACGTACCAAAAAGGCAGCTGAATATACAAAATTAACAATACTAAAACCCATGAGCTGTAACCGAAACGAGCAACTAACTATTCAAAGTGATTAAGCTGGCAGAGAACAATTTCAATAGGTATATTTAAGTAGTGAGCCTAAATAATTTTGGAGAATCGCGCAAGGTTGATGTAAAAACAGGCAGAAAAAAAATCAAAACCAAAAACTAAATTTGCAATTTGAAAGTAGGGAGTACAATTGTTTTCGAGAATAACTTTAGTTCTGTATTCAACCTAAATGTATGTTTTAGTTAGTCGATGCCACTGAAATCTGTCTGATCTTCTTGTATGTCCCATGCAATATGTTGTGTTTTTTTAATGTAATGCGTTGATTTTTATTGTGAAACGTGAACATGTGCAACGGGTATGTGATTTTGAGCAATTGTAAATGGTGTATTTGAGTTATCTTAGGTTATTTTCACTTAGCGATGTGTATACCGTTTAAATTTATTATTATTTATTTGACGAAGCACCCGCACATCCTCCCGAACAGCACACCCTTGTATGTAATATGTCATTTGCTGCCCAACCAAAATCAAAGTGAACACAAAGAGATGCACACAAATATTTCTATATGCGAGAGCCAACATACATATAACGATGTACGAGAGCAAAGCAACCATTAACTGTATACTAATGAAATGATTTAAATTATTGTGTAATTTTATTTATAACCTGCATATATAAAGAACATATTTATCGAATTTATTATGTAACTTTTCGATTTATTTTGAATTGAATAAAGATTTTATGAAACCTAAAGCAGTTTGTTGTTGGATTTTAATAATATTGAATTATCTGCATATTATTTTTGTGTTTTTTTTAGCAACGAAAGTTGTTCCTTAGATAGCTAGAAACATACCTTTATACGTTTAAAATATTTGAAATGAAAGAAAAATTTTAAAACAAATTAAAAAGACTTAATGCTAATATGCTATAACACATATAAACAAATAAACACATTTGTCGTTTTAATAGTATACTAATATATAAGAAATTAGGGTATAAAAAAATTGTTTAATTTAGGTAGGACTTTCAAATATTAATCTGATTGGAGAGAGATGCCACTTCTTTTGAACCAGGTGGTAACTCTGAATCACTGGTATTTCTTGAAACCGAAATAGTATTTATTTCTGAGCCTGGTGGTATTTTTCATTGTTATTGGCACGGTCACACTACACAACCGCGAAATTGTTATTGCTTGTTTTGCCAAACAACGAATTTAAAGGAAATAACGCTGAAATTTATATACAATGGCCGATAAACAATCTATTGGAGAAGCAACCAAGTCCGTCCAGACATCAGCAGTTCCGAAACAGGAGGATAAAGAGCAGAAAAAGTCGACGCAAGGGAGTCTCAACTCGGGCTCAGGTGATGGCGGGAAAACTGCGGAAAAGTCGGAAAAGCCGGCTGGCCAGCCCACCGCCTACAGCATGCGACCGGCTTTTGGAGAGATGTTCCCCCTGCCCACCATCAAGAACATAATGAACAACGTGATGGCCGACAAACTCAAGGGTAAGTTGGAAAATCCATAATCCCAAAAATATTGCCAGTTGCTAAGCAACTCCAGCATTTATAGACAAAACCTACGACAAGGATGTGGCCAAGACGTGGACGAGTGAGATTGCAGACGAGGTGAACCAGCAGATAGCCAGCAGCTCCAAGGTGAAGCGGTACAAGCACGTCGTCCAGGTGATGCTGGGCCAGGAGCTGGGTGCGGGGGCCACCTACAACTCGCGCTGCTGCTGGGACTGCGACTGCGACACCTCCATCTCCGAGGTCTTCAGCAACACCAGCCTCTTCTGCGTGTGCACCGTGTTCGGCACCTACCAGTACTAGAAGGGGGATCATAGAGATCTGCACGAGTAAGTCAAAGTAGACTCCGCTAGTACTGAGTGATGAAAACTCTTAAACTATCATCGGGGAATTGTCGAAGTAATCGGTTCGTTTTACAGATTTGGTATACGGTTTTTTAATCTAAATCGATTGCAAAATTTAGAACAAATGGAATGTTTAAAACCGTGCATGAATACCTAATCGAATTGCGACCGCAAATTCTTTAGAATAGGAGTATGCCCAATATGGTCCACCAGAACAATATTGTTAGTTCTAACATTTAAATGGTTATGCATTTTACACAATGACACATCAAATTATTTAGAGCAAGACATGCCTCGTTTTTATTTTTTAAATCTAAAATAATTGTTTTAAATAATAAATTCGCGAATGCTTTAGGATAAGGGGAACCGACATTTATGGAATACATTTGTTATAAAAAGCCATAAATATTTAAAATACCGCTTTAAGAATTAAAAGTCAAATGTTAAATTTATTACTACTCCTACGATTCTATAATGCCGAGTACTACTTGATTACATAATATAAAAAAGTGTCGTAGTATCTTCAGCATGATTACCTTTACTTGTGACATAGGCATCGAATCGTGCAGGTCTCTAGTGGACAACCCACAGAACTGATTAGGCTAAGGACCACCTCACAACGTTTACTTTTAAATGGGTAAGCTTAACTTAACCGGGGTGTCATAGGGAAGATGGGTTTTAAGGTCAAATAAGACCATTTAAATTTGAATCTCCCGTGACTCCCCTGTGTATTTACATTTTAAACTACGCATAGCTAACTTCTCGTATTAGTAGGCACCGGGAAACAAAGGGTTCATCACTTTCGATGGTCGACCTTCGTCGAGCTTCATTGGATGCGCACGTTCAGCGGATTGAGTATGCGGCCCGACATCACAGCCACGTCCAGGTCGCGATCCACGATGAAAAACAGAAACGGATGATTCACGGAGATCTGAATGGGCTTCGTTTGGGCGCCGTAGTTGCCTAGAGAGCGAAAGGAAGTGTTTATTGCACTTTGTCTCGTGTTGCAGAGGCTGCAACAGTTGCAACACCATTAGGTGGGGCCATCGCAATGCGTTGCGGCTCAATGCCTTCGGCCCACTCCACTCAGGTGTGCTGCAATGCGAGACACTTACGCTTCAGCTGATTGATGGGATGCGTACGGATGGTGACGTCTATGGATTGCTCAATGTGCCGCACGTAGACGCCCTTCTCATCAGTCATGGGCCTGAAATCCGCGCGATTCGGCTCGAAGACATCGCAGCTGCAACGAAAGTAAGAGTGAGCAGGGAGCTGCCGCGATTACGTCCATGCTTACATTCCCATCTGCAACAAAAAAGCACAAACCAAAGACACACCGTTCAATAAAAATGCTTCGAATGGCACTCTACCAAAAAACACTCACATTCTGAAGGTCGTTGGTCAAGAACATGGTCCCGTGCAGCTTGAAGTCTGGAATGATGGCCTGGACCCAGCGCGGCTTAAGCTGCTTCCGCATCAGCCGGAGAGTGGGGCCCAGCTTCAAGGAGGCGGCGGCCGCTACGATATCCGTGTGATAGTCGGGCAGTAGGATCATAAGGTTGTACTCCGGCGTGTCCAGCTCCAGTTCCAGCACACTCATCTTGAGGTGCTCAAAGTACTTGTAGTAGAGAACAGCATTGTACACTTTGAAGGTGGTGTGCACAACCTGCTGGTTGCCCAGGTAGAAAACGTGGCTGATCACGTCCGTGTTATAGTTGGACTTGCCCTCGGCTCCCTCTCCAATATAGTGTGGCTCAAAGTCATTGGTGATGGGCGCGAATGCAGCGGGCACTGGCGGAGGAATATGCAACGGATGATGCGGGACGTGAGTGTGCGGATTGAAGAGCGTCAGGAAGAGATTCGCATCTAGATCCTTGTAACCTGGCAGCGCATGCCGCTTGTGCCGCGCCATTTTGGTCTTCCGAGTCAGCGAGATGTTTCCCACCGCCTGAGGCGCAATAATGGAAATAACCTGCCGTGTTGGTGACGGCTTTCGCTCTGCCACCTGGCGAGCCATCATCGGCATGGCCACTGTCCGTGCACTGGGCAGATAGAGGGGCTTTGGTGTGATCGGATTCGAGTGCTTGAGCGGCGCCTGGAGCTTACTGACTGGCAGCCGGGAGACGCGCGCCTTCTGGATGCGAAGCAGCGGTTCGGCATCCTCCTCGGCCACAAAGGCGGACACCAGCTCGGCTGCTTCATCCTCAGCAGCGGGCTCGGCAGCTTCCTCGCCCGACGTGGCAGCAGGTGCTTCAGTTGTGGCCTCCGACTCCTCTGGTGCCTCCGTTGTGGTAGTTGGAGGCTCAGTTGTTGTGGTCACAGGTGCTTCCGTGGTCGTCGTGGACGGCTCTTCAGTTGTGGTCTCTACATCCTTCAACGTTGTGGTCTCCGCTTCCATGTCTGCGGTTGTGGAATTGCTGGCCATTGTGGTGTTAACCATCTCAGCATCTGACGTGAGATTGGCTGGCGTGGAGGATAGCATGTCTACACTCAGATCGTATCCATAGAACATGAGAACTGTTTCGAAGTCCTTGAGAACTGTGACGTTGCCCTTGTTCAAACTGAGTCCTTTTAGCGGATTGTCGGAGCCAAAAAAGTAAGTCTGAAAAATTAAAAACAATAGTCTACAATATCAGTTAACTACTTATAAGTTATTAAAAATTTCTTCAAAATGAAAATGTAATTTTTTAAAAATTTTAGACCCGTTTTCTGCTTTGAATGTTTTATTTAATGCAGATTTTAAACTAAATATTTTCGCAGTCTTTTCAGGTTAGATAACTACTTTTTTTTATTATACGGATAAGAAAAAACCCTTAGAGTTCCAACTCCTAATTAAAATCATGAATTTAACTTCAAAACTCTATGAAAATGCTAAAATTATGTCTGCTCTAACCTCTAGTTAATTAAAAACTGCTTCAAAAATTTATTTAAACATTCAAAGCCCCTTTTGAGCTGCTTTACTACCCGAAACCTAATCAGTAGCGGGTACTTAATGTTTGCCAATTAAAAAATCTATTCACTATTGCTGGTCACTTTTGGGAGATTAACCGACCCAATGAGGTCGACGAACTATTGAATCCAGATTGGAGATCAATTGAGCAATGGTCATGATGGGCCCGGGGCAATTTGTTTGGCAGTACGCATATTTGGTTTTCAGTCTGTTCTTTATCAATGACCACTTGGCAGAATGCCTCCTCCCGCTTCCCTCCTCCCTTGCAATGACTATACCCATTTATGGGTGCTTAGCCAGGCGTGTAAATGTGCGTTGGCATATAGTTTTGAAGGGGTTCTCGAGTGGGCACCCCTCCGCTGGCAGTGGGTTAAGTTCAAAGCAACCACATTGGCCTACTTGGGTAACTCACCCGCAATCGTCGGTGAATGTCGCGGTAGCCCACTCGGGTCACGTCCCGATTGTTGGGCAGCTGCAGGACATGTCGTAGCTCCTCGGCACTATTCCCAGCCGATCCTTCGAACAGAGCCACCAGGACACTGACCAAGGCGGTGGGCGAGAAGGCAAAGTTGTTGCGGTTGAGGATTGAGTGGTAGTGGAGCAGGCGGTGGGTCAGATCATTGGTCAGATCCACCATGACCTCGGCGGGGGTCAGTTCCTTGGCGGCGAGGACCTGAGGCAGGTGATCCAGTGGCGTCAATGGAGGCGGTGGAAAGTGCGGATGCGGAAAGCCGCTGGCACGGAACTCCTCGTGGTCTATCTGGATGTAGTGGGCCGTCGCCGGGAGAAGGAGGCTGAGGTTGAGCCCCACCAGCCAGGTGATCAGCAGCCGCAATCCAGCCATGACAATGCAGCCGACCTCGGAGTGAACTGATTGATAGCGCACTTAGCACTCTGATTGTCGCGTTCGCGGCTGTTTAGCAAAAAAAAAAATTGGCAAGCTCTATCCGCGTCCCCAAATTGCAGTCCATTCGTATTATATTCCACTTTTTTTCGATCCCGATTCAATTAGCCCATCACCAATGCTCTGAATTCAAGGTGATGACAATTCCGAAATTCGTCAACCGTCAAGCGACGGGGGTATTCCACATTGTTTCAGATGCAGTGGGTCGGATAGTTGGGTATATGGTATAAAGTGCGGGGTCGTTTCGCTTCTGGTTCGAACTGATTCGCGTGATTGCTGCTGCCAAACTGAAGTTGGGGCTGCCTGGGTAGTGTGCTAAAATACGGCAGCCGATCGATGGAATGGGATGGGATCGGATCGTATAATCGTAAATTCGAGCTCGGCTTCGTGGTTCAGCCAGTCGATGGTGTTGCGTGGAAAATGTTTGCCATGCCAAATCTGAAAGAGCGTTTGTCGGGGTCTTATAAAACTCAATAGTAAGCGGATTATTACTTCGAAAAGTTAATTAATAATATTTAATTATACAAAAAAGTGACTTACATTATTTTTGAAATTTTCTTCGATTCTTAAGCAAAATACCTAAAAATAATGGTCAATATATAATAACTGTCTTACCTCCTTGAGCTCGCAATCTACAGACTTTTGAAGGTTGAATTATTTGGACAATTGAAAAGAAATTAAATATTTAAATATTTTTTAAATCAGCTGAAAAGGGTTAGCAATCCATTCTGTAGGTCGCAGCTGTACACAATATAGAGTTCCTTCGTCATGGTTAATCTTTTGCCAAAGTTCCCATATGAGAAGCGTCAAAGGAATCGATTGTTATAGGCCCAAATGAATTATTTTTCAAGCAACAAGTATTCCCAAGAGGTTTTACCGCCAACTGATTGTATCTTTGGTAATCGAAATGGCATTCCTGGCACACTTACTTGATGTACAATCAAAATTGCCCATCAGTTGCTTCGCGGGAATTAATAGAAAAGGTCATGCCGTCGCTAACAAGGCTTGTAAAAATTGGCCTGAGCTCCTTTTGTGCCCTCAATGGAATTCTGGATTTTTACCTGGATAATGGATCGAAAAGACTGCGCTGGTCCCGCTGGTTGGCCATCTATCGAATAGTGCACAACTTTGTAGTCTTCAGCCTGACGACAAGGTTCCTGCTGGATTTCTGGGAGCAGCATGAAGCAGAAATAAAGAACTCGCTGCTAATGACGATTAACTTCTTCACATACTTTACATTGGTGTTTCTGTCGATAATCAGCTCCATGGGCTGTTGCTTCTATTGGCAGAATAAAATCTTTGTGGTTCTCCAGAAGTTAAGGCATCAAAGGGAGCAGAGCAGGCAGTTAGGATATCGAGTGCCGAAGGGCAAACAGCTATTCGTGGACTGTTTAATGTTTCTGGTCACCGTCCTTCTGATCCTTCGCCTCAGCATCCATGTGAGCACGTGGATAATCAGCATCAGGGTTGGCTTGAATCACCCCTGCAACTGCTTCCTGCCCGAGTGCATGATCTTTGCCATGAACTACCTGGTGTTTGCCATCATGGCCGAGATAAGCCAGTGCTGGTGGAGATTGCAGACCGGACTGGAGATGATACTCCTGAATCATCCAAATCTAAGAACTGTAGCTAGCCAATTATGTCATATTCAAAGGCTGCACACCATGTTTCAGTGCCTAATCGATGTTACCTCGGAGGTGTGTTCCATGTTCAAGTTCGTCCTTCTAATCTACTTGATCCGCAATCTTTGGAGTGGCATTGTGATAGGATACATGGTGATACGTCTGGTTTTTGGAAAAGGACATGCCGACGTTGAGCTTAGCTATATAGTACTGGCCTTTGTCATCTGCATCCAACCTCTGATGTTCTCGATCCTGATGAATAGCATGACCCACACAACCGATTCCTTACTAGATGTAACCAAGGATATTTTGAGAACACCTCACAAACAAAGCGCTCAGGTGGATCGAAGGGTGAGTAATTGGTTAACTTCTTATGATGAAAAGTTCTGAAGTCCCAAAGTTCTTACAGATCGAATGGTTATCGCTGCAAATGGCTGGTCAACACACCTACATCTCTGTCTTCGGCACATTTCGCCTGAATCGCTCTTTAGTTTTCACAAGTTCATCTGTCATCTTGATTCACGTGCTCTATATGGTGCAATCTGACTATATTTCGTTGACTAAGTGATGAATTTACCAACCACATTTTCAAAAAAGATGCCCCCTTTTAATAAACACACTCACAGTTAGTTTTGAAAGTATCATTTTGCTCTTGTCTTTTCTGTTTTTATTTTATTATAGAATTCTTCTTGTGTTTAGCTTATTTCGTACAATTAGTTGTTTACGATTTTATTCATTCTGATTTCGATTTATTGTTTAAAATCAACATTCATAAACACGTCCATTGAAATGATTTTTAGAGTTTCTTGCTTTCTTTGTTGTATATTTTCATTCGCTTAAAATAGTTTTGAAAATGATTTTATTTGTGGGACTTTCTTTATGTAGCGTGAGTGGTGTTAGAGTTAATGGTTCGGTGTGTTGTGATGAGAGTGAAAGTGATGGATCCTTAGGATTACGTACATATGCAGGGCGGTACACCTAGTACAAAATGTGCACATCCCAATCGACACGCAGGTCTTAATGTTAATGGTTAGTAATGGCTGATCTGATCTGGAGTCGGAGTCAACATGAAGCATAAAAAGCCAACCGAGCAACAAGTACTAAAGTATCCCTATATCCCTAGCTGCTGTGATTTGTAGCTTCGATCTGTACATTGAGTGTAAATATACAAATATGCCGTTTTGCCTGTGTATATATAAAGACGCAAAATATATCTATATTTATGATCTGTAGTTTGTGTGTGTTCTCTGTGTTCCCCTCGCTTCGTAATCGTACTGCCTTCCTCTTTTTTTTGTATGTCTAAAAATGTTCGCGCGTAAAACGTTTTTTCCGTTAGTTTAGTTGCTTTGCAAAAAATATAGTCGCCCCACACGCACACTAGCCCGCCGCAGGATGTGCAGGATGTGTGTGCGTGTGTGCGCACACTTTCTCTATCTTTCAGTTTTGTAGGTACTCGATTCTCACCAATGTTTAATTGAAGTGTTAAACATCTCTGCTGCTCTGTATTTTGGATATACGTTATGTTTTTTTAAGTGGTAGGGGTCACCAAGTTAGGCTTAGGGGTCACCAGTGATTGGGTTGTTTTTGGATCCTCGAGTTTTACTGCTGCTATTACATTAGTTTCGGTGTGGACTTAAGCTTGTTTCACATTGAGACAACGTTACGTATGATTAATGCACACCTATGTTGGGTTTCCTAGGGCATATGAACAATCTTTGCCGTCAGAAGGGAGTTCTTGTTCTTGTTCTTGCTCTCGTTTTCGTTCGCTATTCATAATTTCGGTTAGATATATGTATGCATATGGTTATATATATTATCTGTATTTAAATATATACTGTATACATGTATAATTATATGCTTATTTAGCACCTGCTGCTGCTGTATTTTTAACATGGAATATACACGACACTTAGTTGCTGGTTATTTACTTGGTTTTCTCATATGGTTTTCGTTTGGAAATGCAAAACTCCGTTACGCTAGCTCGTAATTTAAGTATTATCTGTATCTGTATCTGCTTCTGGCCTCTGTATCTTTATCTTTTTCTGTGTCTGTGTGCTACTCTGCTCAATTTTCACCTGCTCCAGGCCTTAATTTCGCCTCTGGCTAATGGGCGTGGCAGGGGGTGGGCGGTTGCCGCCCCAATTGCGCCTCTTTTGTACCTTGTTATGTGGTGATCAGTGGCCGCACGGCGATCCTGGCGACCGCCGCCTGCCTTTAAAGTATGCTCTAGCCTAACTTCGCCGACTTCGACTTCGACTTCGACGACAACCAGTTCAACTAGTTGGCTAGTCCAAGCAGAACCGAGATAAGTACACAGTGGGGTTAATAGAATCATATTAGATCATTTTGTAACAGCAAACAAGTCAACAAGGTGAAAACAAAACAAGGATGAATCGATCTGATTGGGTACGTTACTTCTATTATAGAAGTTCTATAGATGTAGACACAACAACAAGTATATATCATATATCATGGATTCATCTCGTTATTACGATCTTACGAACTACACATAAAAACACGAAAAGTTTGAAGGTGATATAATGAGTGGCTGTGTGTGTGTGTGCTGGGGGATGCCCCTAATGCTAGACATACAAATAGAAATACAAATGTGGTGGGAAGTTGGGGAGTGGGAGCGTCTAATTTTAATCAAGTCGAGTCAAGTCATTCAACGTATCTCTCATATCTCATATCGCCTAGATCCTAATAAAGTCCTCAGTTAGCCCAACTAAACCGATTATTGTTACATATTAATTGTTAAGTGTTAATTATAATTTGTAATTTGTAATTTTTAATTTTAGGATTTTCTTGACGCCCGCTCCGTTCCGATTTTTCCACGGGCACTACTGAGTTCGCCCCCGAACAAAAAGTCTTTTGAAATTAAGGATGCATTTAGCCAATTTTGAAGACATCTAGTGGTTTCAGTTGCCAGCCAATCAATGCAAAATAATTGAATACAATTTCGGCCGAATAGCTCTCATTCTCACGCTCATTCTTTCAGTTATCAAATCAATTGTCAATTGCCAATTATCGTAAATTTAAATTGTAAAAAAGTTACAACAACTCTTGGGTAGAAAAACTTATTTAAAACCTATTATTGAAATTATGCCGTCGCCTAACTTCGGCAGAGGCCTAAGTTAGATGGATTCACGAGTGATATTCGTGATATTCACTACACATAATCTCGCTTCGTATTTTGGTTTTGGTTTGAAGTATCAGTCAGTTCACAAGAATGCTCTAATGTGTTGTGCATGATGCATGATTAGCAGGAATTACAAGTACTTGATTGTATAAACAGCTTATTGCTTTCCTCGAAATTGTGTATTTTGGGTTTTTGTTTCTAAGCAGAATGGGATGAGTGAATGCGAATGTGAATGCGGTTGTGGTATTCGTTGCTGGCAGTGTAGAGCTTTCGATTTCCAACAACTTTTTCCCCAACTCCCGGGGGTATGCTATGAAAGTCGGCCTCCCCCAGGATATCCTATTTTCCCGCTCTTCTGTTCGATTCTCATCGATGAAATGGTTTGATGCCAATGGGGGGGTTCCATGGGATTCATGAAAACGCAGCCAAATAAACGATGCGCAAGTCTTTTGCTGGATACTCACTAAACTAATCGACTTAATGCACTTAATCTTAAATGGAATTCAATGTCTAGCACCGTTAGCTGCCTGGCTGATATGCGTGGGTGTGCGTGTGTGCCGTGTGTGTGTGTGTGTGTGTCTGAGTGTATATATCAAAATGAACAAGTCAAATAAATCAGCCTTATATTGAATGCAATTTTGTTTTAAAACTAATTTCGCTTTCCAATTATCCAAAAAATGAACACCAACACACACACAAAGACGCCCAGGCCGCAGCCACGGTCGCAGAGCTCCGATTCTAGCAAGGATTCGGAATGGGAATCGGTATCCTTCAGATAACATATCCATAAGAAGTTCCGTTCCAAAATCCACAATAATCGCTCAGACACTTTGCCCCTAGCTACACACCTAAATGTACTGTATATATGTATATAATGTATCAAGTATAATTACTTAGTTATCGTTTAGTGGATGCAACATACCGCGCTGAACCAGCAATCGCTGCGTCGGATCTGAATTCCATTTCGAAGTCCAAATCCAACCGCCAGCTGCCGTGAGATTTCTAATTTAAACCGAACACGATCCGATCCTCCTTAAGGGACTACTCCGAATCCATCTTAGCTTAGAGTTAATGCTATGTTTACACATCAATAACGACGATAAATATCAGAAGAAATATCATAAGTATCCATCTACATGCATATTCTGCTTACACGTACACGGGGGCAAATAAGCCCGATAATATCTGTATGTATAGCTAGTTTTAGAGATAAACACACATCGATCTGTTGCTGCTGTAGCAGTGTTATGTAAGCACCTCCTTGTCTGTACAACTGTCTTAGGATCGGCTTAGATCAGCGGAAAGGACAATAACAAAAAAGCGAACTACCATTGGAATACCAAGAGATGCGGTAGAAAGTTGTACATTTGTATTCCAATACGATCTGTTCTACGTCTGAGACCCTGGGAGAAACCGTGTCTGTTCGAGAAATGCAATCTTCTTTCTTTCGAGGGAGAAGTCTCCGTAATTTCGTAATTTCGTAATTCCGGAAACCGTTCTTTCCAAAACAAGGCATAAGTGAAGCAACTGAAAAGTCAAATCATAATAAAAACAAAGTGGTTGGTTTTTGTTTTGTTTAATTATAAATAACAATTGTATATTTTTTAATAAAATGGGTGTTCTTGTTGTTGTTGTGTTGTATTCTTTTCAAGAAAAAAAAATTAAAAATATTATTTTCGCTATTGAATGAATCTAGCATTCATGTTCGATGGATTAGAGCTTTGACCTTTACTGATATCTGCTGTTGATTTCCCTCCATTTATCTTTAATCTTCGTTAAGCATTAGTTTTCTGCTTCATCCGTTGTCACTTTGCGTTTGTTTTTTTCAGGCCAGGTCAGGTCCCCGATCGGGGTTCTGAGGATCCCCGAGGATCGAGGAGGTTTAGCTTGCCCTGCATTTCTTGCTCTTTTCGTGATTATGGTAATCGTACACATAAAATAGTAAGAAATATTAGCGATAATTATATAATAATGGATAGTTTTCTTTCTTTCTTTCTTGGTTTTTGTTTGTTTAAAAATATCACTTAAGTTTAAATAATTTCCAGAACGCAACGAAATAGATCGAGTGTACGTACTTAACTACGCTTGTGTGGGGTGTTTGTTGTGTGTGTGTTTTGTGTGTGGTGCACGAAAATTAGCAAGAAAAACAATAATAATGATGACAATAATCATACTCGTAATCATAATTGTAATAAAGAATAGACGCCCCGACGGGCGACAGACAAAGGTAAGTAAAATGTATTGCATTTCCTCCGTTTTCAGTTGCATTTTACTCGGTTCGTTTACAATCGTTCATGTTGTTCTTGGTTTGATTAAACTTATAGTTAATAAAAACGAAATACAAGTGTAAAAAATGTTGTTAAACTTTTTCGCATTACACAAAAATGGCCACCATTATGAATTTCATTCAAATCACGGCAAACAGTTTCAATGAAATGTTCGTTTGCGTGTTTTACTCCTTCGTCAACCTTCAACTTTTCATTTTCCCCGCTTTTCCGTAACTTTCCCATTTTCATTTTCAAAAACTTTTTAAAGCTGCTGCCGCTTAAGCTCAATTTTCCCCATCTCTCATCTCCTCTCTTTTTCCCATCCACTTTACAAGGATTGCTTATCCCATTGCACTTCTCTCCCTCGTCCTTTTCGTCCTTTTTTCTTTTTCTTTAAGTGTGGTATGGGGGTTCTATATTTACATATTCTAGACTTTAGTTTGTACTTCCAATTTGGTTAAGAATTCCTTGTGTATTTTCATTTCTTCTTCCGTAAATTCTCCTGCTCTTCAATCTCAATCTCTGGCCATCTATCGATAGACTCCATATATCATATACCATATATCATATATTATATATCTCCTTATATCCTCGCAAACCTCGCTGGGTCCTTTGTGACGTCATTGTTTGTATATGTATACCGTAATTTGAACAATTCACAACAGTTGCACAACGCAAAAAGTTTTTCTTTTTTGTTTTAAATCTTAGTTTTTAGTCATAAGTTCATTACAAATTAATCAATAGACGAATTTAGCTCGTTTTTCGTTTATGTGTGTTTTAGAAAATATCAACTTAACAATGTATTAAAAATTTGAACATGTTCGAAAGTGTTTTCCTTCTGGCTCCAATAGAAAATTTTGACGGTTCCCTTTTTTATCTCGATAAGGATTTTAGATCTATCTCACAATCCATCTGTCTGTTTGTCTGTCGGCCTGTCTGTCTGTTTGTTTGTTTGTTTGTTTGTTTGCTTGGTTTGTTTGTTTTAAAAATTCACTACATTTAAGTTTAAGTTGCTCGTATGTCTATATGTTACATTAGCGTGGTATTTGGGTTCGGATTTGGGTTCGGGGTAATTGTTCTATAGAAGTTTGAGAGTTTTTGGGCTGGGGTCTTGGCTTTGTGTGGTGGTGGGTGGTGGGTGGTGGTTTGTGGGTGGTGTCTGGGTGCTTAATTAACTAGATTATTTAGCTGTGTGTCCATCTATTGCCGCTCGTATGCATAAAGTCGATTAATACTTAACTCTTAGCGCTTAACACACACTTACAAATTGGTTTTAAACGGTTCTTGGATTTGAGTTACACATGATTATGCAAGTAATTTAACTATTTTTTTGTTTATGTCTATTTAATGTGTAGATGCAACGCCTTGAATATTTAATATGCATATTAGGTTTTTCGTTTTGAATATTCTGCTTTATAGTTTCATTTTTCATTTTGATTTGTTTGTTTGAGTTGGTTTTCTTCGTTTTCTATCATTTCATTTCGTTTTGTTTTCTTTTCTTTGTTTTAGAGCGAGAAGTAGAACAGAAATTGCACTTAATACTAGGAAAAAATTTACTAGAGTTCTTACAACTAAAAAAAATCAAATGTATATTTGCTTTAAATATTGTTTGTTTGTTTCTTGTTTGTTGGTTGTTGTTGTTTATGTTTGAATTGTTTTTTGCTGTTTTTTCTTTTGCATTTTTTTGTTATGTTTTATGTAAAACAGCTGGCATACGTATTTTATCTGTTTTCTTTCACTTTTCTCTTTTTTTGTGTGTAAATATAAAAATCTGCCAACTGCTTGCTTGCTTGCTCTCTAACATAAGAATTAACAAAGTCATTTTAGAAATAAATATGTATATGTATATTTACGCACTGCAATAATAGTTATAGTAATAATAATAATAATAATGATAATAATTAGATTATTGTAGATTGCAAATGTTGCCCGGGCGCAAATGTCAGCAACATTTGCACGGCAGTTGGCAAACACCTGCACAACAACAAAAGAGATACCGTTACGTGTTTAAGGTGCACAATTCAATGCAGAGTAAATAAGAAGAGACCATTTTTCATTTGCATTTTTGCGTGTTTTTGCGATTTTCGTCGTCGGCTGGCAACAAACAGCGGGGCAGGACCAACTGGGGGTCAGAGGTTAACAGTAGTCAGGTGGTTCCAGTGGTTCCAGTGCATCCAGTGGCTCTCGGCGGGCTCAACCCTGCATCAGCACGGCCTGCGCCTGCTGCTGACTGGCGGCTGCCCGGCTCCAGGCCAGCAGGCCGTTGGCAGCAGCCACCTGCGCCTCCTCCTGATCCTCCAGAGCCTCCAGCTCCTGCTGCTGCTGCTGCAACTCCATCTCCATCTGCATCTCCTCCCCAGCCTCCTCCTCCTCCTCCATTTTGGCCATGGGCGCCACAATCACCGAGGTGGCCACACTGCGTATACGCACTGGCCTGTTGCTGATTGTGTTGCTGTTGGCGCTCACCGCATAGGGATGTTGCTGCTGCTGCTGCTGCTGCACCTGTCCTCCATACCGCTTGTTGGTTTTGATGGTTAGCGAGGAGGGCAGCTGCTTGCCAGCAGCCACCTCGGCCGCCAGTCGCACCACCGTGGTGGTCATCTTGGAGGAGGATGTTGCTGCCGCTGGACTGGGAGTTGTTGCTGCTGCTGCTGTTGCTGCCGCCTTGGACTGCTGCGCCGACGCCTGGTTTGCCGCCTCCGTCGACGACTTCTGTCGCTTTCAGTCCCCAAAGCGAGTGCACGCCTTCTTCCACCGGCACTGGGTGCACCACTGGTCGCGCTTCTCCATGCCATAGACCTTGCGACACTTCTTGTTCTCGCCGCGCGTCCTCTTGCCTGGCGAATGTGGCGTCTGCTTGGCGACCGCCGGTTGCGCCAAGTGTTGCTGCTGCAGCGGATTGCTGCTGTTGTTTTGGGCAACCAGGTTGCCGGCAGTTGTCTGTGGATGTTGCCGCATCGGCTGGTGGTGTTGCTGCTGCTGCTGATGTTGCTGCTGCGCCGGATGGTAATTGGGCGTGATCGTCACACTGGACAGGAGGTGCTGCTGCTGTTGCTGCTGCTGGTGGCTGTGTTGCTGTTGCTGTTGGTGGTGATGTTGCTGCTGCTGCTGCTGTTGCAACTGTTGCTGCTGCTGCTGCTGGTGGCTGTGGTGTGCCGTCACCGTGACATTCTGCTGTGAGAGCTGCTGCAGCATGTTGTTGGCACTGCTGTTGCTGTGGATAACCGGACTGCTGCTGCTGCTGCTGCTGTGGCTGCTGTTGCTGCTGCTGCCGGCGTAGTTGTGGTGTTGCGTGTGGTGGTTGTTGCTGTGGTGCTGCTGCTGCTGGACGTATGTCGGCGATGGATATGGCGCTACCGAGTGGGACGGACGGGTGGACGACGAGCGAGCGTGCTTGCCCAGCGGCGAGGATGACAAACTGGAGCTGGATCCGGATGCCACGAGCCCCGTCCCCGTGGATGAGGAGATGCCGCCGCCGCCGACGCCGCCCACCGCCGCCGCCGCTGGCCAGGTGTAGTTGTGGTGGGCCAGGTGCGAAGTGGGGATGCAGCTGGTGTTGTTGTTCTGCAGCTGCTGCTGGTGGTTGCTCGGGATGTTGCCGCCACTGATGCTGCGTCCATGGGGCTGCGTTAGGTGGTTATAGTGGCTGCCTGCCCGTCCTTGCCTGCTTGAAGGAAAAGAGTAGAGTTAGTGGTAAAGTCAGCATCCTGCACTGAGAAAAACCCACTTGAAGTTGCCCACTATCTGCTTCTGGTACTCCGGATCCTCGTGTGGAGGACGCGCCATGTCCCGGTGACTCAGCGTCGGCTCGGAGGCCAGGCTGGGCTTCACCTGCTCGTCGTCGTCGTCCACATCCGTGTAGTAGAAGTCCTCCTCGTTCTCCTCGTTGTCATCTGCCGAACGACGGGCCTTCTTCCTGCAAAGTGGCGAGTTGATTAGAAGGATGTCTCGAAGTAGAGATGCTGTCTTAAGTACCTAAAAGGACTTCTACTACTCTTGAACTACAAAGTTTATTTATTTAGAATTATGTTATTTTTCTAAATATGTAAATACCTAAAATTGTGTATAATAAGAAATATCGCCCATTTTACATTTTTTGAAATATAGGTACAAGAATTTTGTACCCAACATCAATTTTGAAATACCGTTTCTTAGTTCTTGGCTTTATATATCGCGTTGCCAACTAGCCAGCAGGGACTGAAACCCTGGCACAGCGGAGACACCACCCCTAAATACCACCGCCTAATCTTGCCGCTATCTATCGCACGTTCCGTTGTTCATCGTTCCGATCTCTTACGTTTACGTTTTGTTACACTTACGTCGCGCAAAAGTGAAAATTGAAAAGACGGCCACACTGCAGCTCGAACACTACTTTCTGCAAAAAAAATACGCACGTTCCGTGTGAAATCAATACGAAATCAACAAGAGCGATCGATTTTGAGCAGCCGTCCCAGTCGCAGAGCAGCGCGCCTTGAAAACCAGCGCGCCAATTAACCCAGCTGCCCCATTCACAAGCCATTTTCCGGTGTGGTGGAAAATTCGCATTTCGCAGAGAGAAAAAATTTGCGCGTCTGTCTGTCTGCATCTCCTTGCCTGCGTGTGTGTGTGCGTGTCGGTGTGTGTGTGTGTATAGCACGGCCTACATTGTCAATTAAGAAGGGAAAAAGAAAAAGCCAGAGGTCCTTTTGATCCTTTGCTTGTTTGCCCTCCAACAAAGCCAGCCAAAATGTCCAGCCTGCGACCCGAGGAGCCCCGGAAACTGGCCACCGCCGCTTCCGTTTCCCCGCTGAGCAATTGCCAGTTCAGCGGCGTGGTAATCAGCGCGATTGCCGACGAGCAGAAGCTGGAGTTTGCCAACAAATACAAGGGCAGCTGCACGCTGCTCTGCAGCTACGATTCCCAGGGAGTCGTGCTCCGCGTGGTGGCAGGTGAGGATGCCCCTTGGAGTAGTCCCTAGTAACCACTTAACCCATGTAATCTCCCTTCCCAGATGAGGACCACGGCCACGTGCTCAAGGAGTACATGATAGCCGCCGACACGGATGCCGCCCAAATGGGCAGACGCAGCTATGCCGTCTCCCTGGACGCCGATAATCTCGTCCTGCGCTTCGCCAGCGACCAGGACCAGCAACTCTTCCGCAAGGTGGTGGAGAATGTAAAGCATCTGAGGCCCAAGTCTGTGTTCTCCCAGCGCACCGAGGAGTCGTCCGCCTCGCAGTACTTCCAGTTCTACGGCTACCTCAGCCAGCAGCAGAACATGATGCAGGACTATGTGCGGACGAGCACCTACCAGCGGGCCATACTGGGCAATGCGGTGGATTTTCAGGACAAGATCGTCCTGGATGTGGGCGCTGGCTCGGGCATTCTGTCCTTCTTTGCCGTGCAGGCGGGTGCCGCCAAGGTCTATGCCATTGAGGCCTCCAACATGGCCCAATATGCCCAGCAGCTGGTCGAGTCCAACAATATGCAGAACAAGATCTCTGTGATACCGGGCAAGATTGAGGAGATCGAGCTGCCCGAGAAGGTGGACGTGATCATATCGGAGCCCATGGGCTATATGCTGTACAACGAGCGCATGCTGGAGACGTATCTGCACGCCAGGAAGTGGCTGAAGCCGCACGGCAAGATGTACCCCACGCACGGCGACCTGCACATCGCCCCCTTCTCGGATGAGTCCCTGTACTCGGAGCAATACAACAAGGCCAACTTCTGGTACCAGTCGGCCTTCCACGGCGTCGACCTGACCACGCTGCACAAGGAGGGCATGAAGGAGTACTTCCGCCAGCCTATCGTGGACACCTTCGACATCCGCATCTGCATGGCCAAGTCGGTGCGGCACGTGTGCGACTTCCTCAACGACAAGGAGGACGACCTGCATTTGATTGGTGAGCATTTATACTTGAGCAGGGTCAACTGAGACAGAAGCTAACTGTTGACCTTTCACAGACATCCCTCTGGAGTTTCACATCCTGCAGACTGGCATCTGCCATGGACTGGCCTTCTGGTTCGATGTGGAGTTCAGCGGAAGCAGCCAGAACGTGTGGCTCTCCACGTCGCCTACGGCGCCGCTGACACATTGGTATCAGGTGCGCTGCCTACTGCCCATGCCCATCTTTATCAAGCAGGGCCAGACGCTAACTGGCCGCGTCCTGCTGGAGGCCAACCGGCGGCAGTCGTACGACGTGACCATCGACCTGCACATCGAGGGCACGCTGATCTCGTCGAGCAACACCCTGGACCTGAAGAATCCGTATTTTCGGTACACGGGGGCGCCGGTCCAAGCGCCGCCGGGGACTAGTACCCAGAGTCCATCTGAACAGTACTGGACGCAAGTGGACACGCAAGGATCGCGCAATTGTAAGGTCAGCCTAGATATTTAATAGCATCTTTACTTATACAATGTTTACCCACAGCTTCTAGCATGCTAAACGGCGGGCTCAGCGTGAATGGAATGGGCGATGGCATGGACATCACCCACGGACTTATGCATCCGCACTAGGACGGCTGCGAATCGAATAATAATACATCTTTCTGGGAATTCTCTTCGCTCCAAGTCCGCTCAACTTTAACGATTGATTCTTTTTTGTCAACTCTTGTTTTGTTACAGTTTATGTTTAGTTATTTATTGAAAAGTGTAAATTATTTCCCCTACTCTCGAAACTCAGTTGCGTTTACGTTCTGCAAACCTTTCGCACCGGCAGTTCTACCTCCTTTTCATACGACCTCCCAACTTTTTTAACCCTTTTATTTGATCGGACAAATCGGAGGAAACCCAGCATCCCAGCAAGCAACCAACAAACAAACAATCAACAAATCAAGGCAGACTAATGTAGTTGTTTAGAACACGCAGCATATTAATAAGCCTAAGCTAATTTTAGCCCATAGTAATTAGTGTTTTTAACGTATGTGAAAAGTAATACCGATATTTAACCCACGCGGGACTGCGCTTCAGGAAGTTTCTTAGTTAATATGCCGATTGCCAATTGCAGTTTTTGCCGAAAGCTTTGAACAAACCAACAAATTCAGATTGTACTGTATCTATTATGTGTGTTATTATATTATATTGAGTGTACCTCCAGCTAGTTTCAATTTTTGTACTTGTCGGCCGTGTTTATGTTTAGTTCGTTTCAAAATGTAAGAAATTTGCTCATAGGATTTAGTGCTAAGTTACGATACCACATACTAAAGGCCGGCCCGCGCCGAGAGATTATACATATACCCGCATACGATTACGATTAATTCAGTAGTAGTTCTGTTCGGTCCTAAGTTTCGCACCCCACATCCCGTCATAGATCCTACTGTATCGCTGCCAGCAAGCCGAGCGCCCTATAAGCATATACACCTAGATATACACCTAGTAGCGTTCGCCAGTCAACCTATACACACATCCCCCAATATTCTCGCGTTCGGTGGCTTGCATCCTGTATGCCGACTGTACTTTATAGAGCAACAAATAAAAACACTCCAAACACACAATACACTGCAAACATAAATATAAAGCATATACATTTATAGATATATATACGAATAGATATACCGCATATATGCAGAAGAGAGAACAATGTCAAAGCAAAAGCAACAAAAAACAAAGCCCCAAAGCGTCTTTTATTTGTGAACCCCCCTGCGAAAGCCCCTTGATTTACATAGGAAACGAGATTGGCAAGTGTCAAAGCTCAGCGCGGATCGTGTGTGGGCGATTGGAATTGGAATTGGACCTTGGCCTCAAAAGCGCACCGCTGCACCACAGCACCACCTGCTTCTCCAACTCCCACCAGCCACCAGCTGGCCTGCAGGTGCGCACAGCAAAGTAATCTGCGTGATGGAGAGGGGCTCTTTATAGCTATACTCGTGCTCGTGTGACCTGCTTACTGGGCTCGAGTGCTCCACTTTCGAGCGGCCCCCCTTTTGGAGGAGGGTCCCAAAGAAGGTCGGTGGCTAAGTCAAGGCCCCACCCACTTGCTGCTCGCCACTTAATCCTCTGATAGTAGTGCAATTTCTTGTTCACTTACCCCAAATGTGTTTTCCTAATGTGACGAACGATTTTATTCTGGTCGGGTTCCACATAGTGACAGCCCCGATAAGTGCAGCGGAACTTTTTGGACTGCAAAGAGAGGAGAAAACGGGGTTATTAGATGGTATAAAGGGTTATTGATATGGAAGAGCTATAAAGGGTGTTATGGGGACTTAAAACTAGTTAAATATATTTAGGATTCAAAGCCAGGGAGTAAAATCTCTTTTGTTCTTGGGAATATGAACATAAAATTAGGGCTTTATTTGGTATGGGAGTTTTGATATGTGAGAGTTATATGGCGTTTTTTAAGAAATTAAAACTATTTAATTTTATTTAGGATCTCAGATCAAGGAGTAAGAAATCTTTAGTATTTGTCGGAAACTTCTCTTTGATGGGGTAACTGGGGTAACTAGACGGTATATATGGTTATTGATAAGAGGGAGGTATATAGGTTTTTATAAGGATTTTAAACTATTTAAATTTATTCAGGATCCCAAGAAAGTATGAAATCTCGTGCGTACTTGGCGGGAATACGGCTGCATCAGGGAATCCTCGGAAGACGACGAAGAGGAGCGCGAGGAGCAGTCCCCCGTGGGACTGTGGCTGCCATAGCTCTCGTAGTCACTGCGCTCCACATAGTAATTGAGTGCCATGGTATTCATGGTGGCGATACGAACGCGACGGGGTTTCCGTTCTGCAGGAGCAGTTGTACTTTGCGGTTTCACTAGCGAATGCAGGAGCAGGAACTGGAGCGATTCGAACCGGTGCCGGCCCGGTGCCAAGTGCGACTGTGTGGGTGCGGACAATGCAACTGGCTGGCTGGCTGGCTGGCTGAAAGCCAGATCCAGAGTCCTTGGACTCTCGCCCGAGCGGCAAACGATGCCGCCCGAACGAGCTGGCCATGCTCGATGCCGCCTGCACTGATAACAGAGCCCGGGTCCGGTCCGCGTCCTTGCCAGCTCCTCCTGCAACCCGGCCACCTAACCACCCCCTTATTTACTGGGTCACCTTGCGGTCGCTTTGCTTCGTTTGGCGCTCGCCTTGACACGCTTTTGCCGCCCTTATCGCCCAGCTCCTCCTCGCTTTTTATGCGCCTGCATTTATGCTGCGATTTTATGCTGAAGGTTAGGAGAGCGCTGCAGCAGCGACGCCGGCAATTGACCCAGTTTAAATATGCTGGCTCACTGCATGTACCTATATGTACATACATATATACCGTATATAACACAGATACACTTGCTGCACAGTTTTGGGGGCACTGCAAACAACTGATTGCGTCCTTGTGCCCGCAATTGTTGTCCTTGTGCGACTGCTGAACAAATTGAAAACTCAGCTTTCGCTTTCTCGTTTTTGGCCTTGTGCCCCAAGTGATTAACGATTTGTTTACAACTTTGTGGTTTGAGCTCGCCAACGGAACTTTATTTGCTATGGATTGCAGTTGTGTGTTCGGTATTCTGGCATTTTGGCCCACTTAGGCTGGATTCACGGAGGGCGCACACGGCGTATGTGTAATTTGAGATGTGTGAGAGGGAAATGCTTAAGAGGCGTTCTTAAGGGAGGAGTCTGCGAACCGCAACGTAATCATAAACATAAATATCCTGCGCTACTTAAGCGGCGTAAATTGTTAACGCACGTGGTGGGCACGCATCTACACAAATGTGTGCACAGAGAGAAATAATTTAATGTTTGTTAAATGATATAGCAAATAGCATTTTGGGATACAATCAACTGATAAGTGTGATTTTCTCAAATAAAAAATGATATAATTGGATCTAAAATAGAGTTTATAAAGTTAGGAACTCATATCCATTTTACTATTTCTCTATTTCCGGTGTAGCCTTAAATGCAGGAATGAGAGAAGCGAAAACTGCCTGCCTAATTAAATATTCTATCATATTAATGTGATTTCGTAAGATTAAAATGATATAAGATTAGACAACACAGAGATCATTGAGTTAGGAACCCATATTAAATTGATTTCTGCTTTATTTCCGGTGTAGCCTTAACTACCAGACTGAGGAAAGCGGAAACGGCTACACACTTTTCGTTTTAACTTGCTGCAATTAGTGGGCGGCCGTAATTCGTTTGAGGCCAGACTTCTGGGGCCAGGATATGCCGCATATCCTGCCGCATAAATAAGGTCCTGCGAATACACACGCCATTGTTGCCAGATGTGTATTGTGTATACTGTGTGTGTTTGTGTTTGCCAACCAAGTGTTTTCCTGCCGATTTCGCCATTTGCAGTTTTTCGGAGTTGGTAGCCTGCGTGACTGGCATCTTTAATGTCTGAATGTCTGAAAAGGGGTTTATTAATGCCTCGATTTTGTTCCACTGGCAGATAAGCACGACAGCCCGTTTGTCAAACGCTGCGTATGCGTAATTTTCAATTCCCCAGCTGATGGACCGCCATTTGCCTTGCAATTTTATTCAATTAATGCCGAAACGAGTTGGAAATCATTTTGGGCTATCAATTCAGGGGGTTTCTATTTGGTATTTCCAGCCCCCGCCACCTGCCAAGTCACTCGAATCCGAAAGTAAATTAAACCAGCTTGAGTTATGTCCTTTTGCCTTCAACGTGTAGTGGTGCGTGTTAATTATCCTGCTCTAATGAGGGACTCCCAACTCCCGGGGTAAACGCCTGTTTGCTAATGAAAGAAAACTCCAGCTGGCAAACTTTCCGGCCAGATGAGAAAATAAAATTCCACCCTGGTCCTGGAGTGCGTATGACTACCGCACAGAGTCCTGATTTGGCAGGAAAACAGCGGGTCCGGGAAAACATAAATATAAATAGCCGGTGAGTGAGTGGGGCGGCGGCCCAACATGAATCTTTTTAAAGGGAATCTTCTTTGAGGGAAAACGGAAGGGAATTCCAGGCTCCAGGCTCCCCATCCCGTCTTATATATACTCAAGTATTTACTCGGGGGCGTACTTCATGCTAATCCCTGCGCATATTTACTCAAGACTTTGGCCGGAACAGATATATTTTGCGATTTCGAATGGAAGCTGATCAGCTTTGCCAGCACATCCTTATTAATTTCGACGACTTAATAATTCCCCCTAACTGCAATCGATTTATTTGACGTTATCAGTGGAAGTCCTGCGTTGCCATGCAATTTCCCACTGCCTTAGCCTTCAATGAGAATTTACTTGCCATCTTCCGGGAAAACTCACCCACCCACGCAGCCAGTCGGCCTCAATACGTGCGTGGGGTAAATAAAATAAAAGTTTTCCTGTTTTCGTGCGCTCTCTGTTCATCTTGGAGTTTTCCGCCTTTCCCGCCTTCCCACTTTCCCGCTTTCCCCATTTTCCGGGCAGCATAAACAACCCCAAACCCCAGAGAGTCGGACCGAAAATACACAAAGCGGAAATGCGAACCGAAATCGAAACCGAAATCAGAACAGCTGTGGAAGGACGGCCGCGAAATTGGGTCAACTGTATATGGGTAGTGGTGTGTATACAACAACCCCCTTCCGAGTTTTCCTTTTCCCGGATGGGGTTGGGGGTGGCCATGCCCCTGTGCTTTCCGCTCTCTCACTCTCTCTCTATTTCTCTCTCTCCTTGTCCGTGCAACATGAAACGTCACTCGCAGAGAGCCATTTTGCCACTGTTAACTGTTAACTGCCAGAAAAGTAGGCCAAAAAGAGCGGCTACATAGCATAACATTGAAAGAGAGAAAAACCAGGGAAAAAGAGAGCTTCAAAGAGAGTGCTTTTGGTTTGGGGGACCTCTGTTACCGAAATTGGGTCAATGGAAGGCCAACATAATTCCCCCACTAAAGGGAAAACATAGCGAAGGCATAAATTATTGACTCCACTGGGGCGACCGAAAATAGCACAATTTGCCTATATCCATAGCGATGTGGGAATGAGGCATTATGGCCACGAAAAATATGTGTGCCAGGCATTAGAGGCATCTGGCGTCTTTTCGCCCTGTGGCTAATAACACTGACTTGAAAGGTTCGCTCCCTAATAGGTCTTAATACCCGTCGCAAACCGAATTGCACTCGCGGCGCCGTTTACATCCCAACGCCCTCAAAAGTAGGCAACGCAAATTATGTTCGCGCCCAAAGGCACAGGAAGCTTTTCCTTTACCACCCTCCAAATCCTGCTTTTTCGTCATGGCAATTTCTGCAATTTGCATTGGCTGTATATATATATATCTTATAAGTATTTTTTATACCACTTGCCGCAAATCGACTTCGTAGCACTTTGCATGTGAGCGGTTGAATTTTAAAGTCTTATCGCCGTGTCTACAGACAGCGAGAAAATTGGGTCACATCGGATAAGGGTGAAGCTTTCAACAAACTTTTCGTTGACTTTATCAACCTCATCAGTGGCGCTCACACAGCCCACCCACTCACAGTAAATTTACTCGGGAAATGCTATTTTTGTAACAAGTTGCAAGGCAAATTGGTTTTTCTTTTTCAGGGGTTGCATAGTTGTGTTTTGTAATTCGTATTTTGTTTTGGACTTTAACCTTTCGGAGGGAGTTTAAAAACTTGATTACCTACTGTGCTGATGGCTGATGGCCTTGCCAATTGGTTAGGCCCTTAATTTGATTGCGTTTAAATAAAAAACACACGCACATACGCATTCGCATATGCAGACAGTGACAGAGTGGAGTGTCATAAATATATAAAAACTCAAACACACATGCATAACTGATGTGACAAACACACGCGAAATTGTCATTGCCGCTGGGAAATCGCAGGGGGGTTGGGCGGAAAAGGCAGGGAAAAACCAGGGGAAAAGCTGGAAAAAGGCTGACAACGACAACGATGGAAGCTGAAATTGAGGTTGAGTGCTCACTCATTCAGCAAATATGACAATGGCGTTGATTTTGATATTTTGAGCGGGCAGACAGAAGCACAATAAGCGACTCGTTCTTGACATGGCCCAAACGGCTAGATATCGCGGCTCAAGGGTTGAGCTCAACCCAGAAATGCACGGAGAAAAATGTAATCATCATTATGGGATCCTTAATAAAAAACACTTCCTATAAATATTACATGCCTTCCCTGTCCCTTTGTCTATTAAAATTCTTAAATGGCTTTGCCAATTTTTTAATATCCCGCCCAATTTGATCTTAGA